ATGGTATGGACCTGACCAAGCAAGATTTTTGGAACCTCAGCCTTTAAAAATATATAATCAAAGTCATCTGCCTGGGTCATCCTCACTTCATACTACTGCCCTTCACACATATTCTGCATGCCAGTCAAAGAGGACATGCTATCTCCTGATTCCAAATGGCGTAAGCCATCCCTCATGCCTTGAATGCATTCTATCTTCATTTCTGCCTTACAAAATCTTGGCCTTTCTTCAAGATTCAGCTCACATCTTATCTTCTCTATAATTCCCTGATTCTCAGTTTTAGTATTTTCTCCTGGATTTTCCTTTTACCACATTCATTTGTCTATTTGTAATAGTAGTCCTACCACACACACATACACAAACTCCTTGAGGAAAAGCACTGTCCATGGCTGTCTATCATCCCCAGCACTTAGCACTTACTAGTGCCTTGTATCTAGTAAAAATATTTGTTGAACAAAACTTTTCTAATCCATCAGCCCCATTTTGGCTTTGTCTCCTTGCTTTCCCTGGGCCTCATATTAGATATTTCACCAAAATTCTCACTTGAACACAAGCATTTCTTATTGCCAATCACTAACCCTAAACATGGCACCCAGCATGGGTAGGGAGTTGCTTAAAACAAAAGCAGGAGTAAGAAAGGAGGGAAGGATAGGAAGAAATTCCAATAGAATTGAAACAATCTGGGCCCAGAGCTGGTCTCATCCACTCTCCCTTGTCACCTTCCAGGTCTGTACTACCAGGTTGGTTCTGAACCATACTTGGCTTTCCAGGTAAGAGGGGGGACACTACACCTCTGGCTTTAAACTGAAAAAATGTTTTGCTTAGTCTTACTTTGGAACACCAGAACTGACCATCTGTGAATGCCCCTGGATGATAAAATCCCAGTCCTAATTGAACTTGTTTCTTCTCAACCTACCTATTTCTCGAGCTAGGATAACACTGCTGAGGCGTATTGGTTGGGTAGATTCAGCAATAAGTATAGCTCTTTGGGAACACAAGGTACTGTTTTCGTACAGAGGCTCAACGGTGACTGCATCATGATGGCTAGAATGCCTGCCAGAACAAAGAACTTGGAGTATGAAAAAATGAACTAGTAGAGAGTTGCTTTTACCCTCCCCTCCAAAAAAATACTCAGTCCTTTTCCAATTCATAAAGTGTCCCATGTATTAGTACCTAATGAAGAGTGCTCATCTTCTAAGGACACATACTATAGGAGGACTTCAGCAAGTTTTTTTAAAGACGTGTTTGCCAAAAAATCTCAGAAGTAAATGTCAATCTTCCCCTAAGCCTATAAAATTGAACTCAATTTGTATCTTCATTTTAGGGAGACTGTGTCTCCTCATAGAAGCTGGGACCTAAACAAGTCCAGATCCGAGGTCACCTAACCACTTAGTATGCCAAAAAGTCAAGTACCCTTGCATTCTGTCAACCCAAGAGTCATTAAACCATAGGGCCAAGCCTCTGTATGTCTACTTCAGACTCTGGGAAGGGGCCTCTCATATAAAAGGAAGTAGAGAAAGAAAGGGTGCTCAAATATTAAGAAGTGCCTCTTTCCTCCCAAAGGCTGAAAGTGCTCACCCCAGCCAGCCTGTCAGCGAAGGTCAGTCCCTTTATGGGTCTTTCACACTCCTGAGGGGTGGTGATTGTGAAGAAGCTCATTTTCTAGGAGAACCCACCTTTCCCTCTTGGTGGGAGGTGGGGGTGTTGATGAAGCTCATTTTTAGATGGGTCCTACCCTTCCCCAACACTAGGAGAGCCCTTGTGGCCCATAGCACGTGGTCCTGTAGGCCTTTCCTGCTCTGGGGGAGCAAGGACTGGGGTAGGGGTGCTGGGGGGGGAGGAGGGAAGTAGCCCACATCCCATTAAGTGCCCCCTTTTGGCAAAGGCCGGGGGTGCCCTCATCCCTGCCCCGTGGGCCATTTGAAGGGCTCCTTCCAAAAGCAAGGAGCAACCACGCCGCTCGGGCCTGGTTCCGGTCGTTTGTGGGGTCGCCGCGCTCGGTGACTCCTCGAGCCCCCAGCGGGCAGCCCCCACGAGCCCCTCACCAGGTGTAGCAGCCCCGTTGGGCCTCCAGCAGGAAGGGCACCCGGCCAGGCTCTCGGCCAAAGGGCAGCAGCACCTTAGGAACATTGAGCTTGTTGGCCCGGGATCCAAGAAGGCTCAGCAGCAGCAGCTTCAGAGGCAGGGGCAGGGGTGTTCCCAAGAAGCGCCCCAAGCCTCCGTCCCCTCGGACCCCAGGCCTCCTCATGGCGGCCCAGGCTCCCGCTCAACCACCAGCCCCGCCCCGCCTCACAACAGCCAATGGGCGGGAAAAGGGGCGGGACCAGGCGTAATTGAGGCAAAAACCGCTGGAAGATTCGCCCCACCCCCCAGCTCGCTCTGAAAGTAACGGAGCGGGGACAGAGGCGTAATCACCTTCCTGGACTAGTTAAAATTGCTTTGTAGACTCGCCTCCAGAAAGACCATTCTCCAACCAGTTAGCCTGCCACGGTGGTAATTTAGCAAAACAAGACCCCTCCCCCTCGGCGTGGCACCACTTCTTCCCCAGGGATAGAAATTAATCTTGAGGCAGAAAGGCGAGCACATGACGTGCGATTACATACAATCTGAACTGGAAAAGACCTTCATCTTTTGGGAAAGGTCATCTAGTCCCAACTCAGTTTTATAAGAAATTAACGCCCAGAGGGGGTGACTCGCTTGAGATTACTCAGCAGGCACAGAATTCGAACCCAGGGCTTCTGACTCCAAATTTCTCCCGGCCCCAGTTTCTGAACATCTTCCTAAGAGACGCATTAGAGAAAGGGCAAACGGGCAGTATAAACAGCTCAATTTTATCTAGGGCCTCTTTTATACACCGACTATTTTCTGTTTTACTCCAGTCTCTAACGAGCACGCCACTTTTCCTTATAAAAGCCAATCCCTTTGTACTCCTGACCCACTCATTTCCATCGTCTAATTGCTTCAGCAATCATTCATTTCATTCCTTCTTTAATCTTCAGTCTCGTTAGACCAGAGGTTCTTAACCTGAGTTTGTGAATGATAGGTAGATAGAAACTGTATTACAATATACTTGTTTTCCTTTGTGATTCTATGTACTTTATTTTACGCATTTAGAAACATTATTCTGAGAAAGGGTCCATAGACTTCACTGCCAAAGCAGTTAATAGCCAACAAAGTTTCAAGAACCCCTGCTCTCCTCACTCAGCAAGCATGTATTAAGCACAGTAACAGGTACTGTTAGGGGCAACACTCTTAGGTCTCCCTCACCTTAAAAAAAGATACCCAAAAGCCAAAAATTTTTCATTTAACTTTTATCATCCTTTTATAGTCCCATGTCTTTCTTCTCTTTCACAGCCAGAAGGGAGAAAAAAAGGGGAAAAGCAGTCCATATTCCTTACTTCCATTCTTCACTCATTTTCACCCAGCTTCCTCTATCATCATTCAAATGAAACAACCCCCCCCTTTCCCTGCAAATTGCTAGATCTGATGGCCTCTTCCAAATCCTGCCTTCTCTCTATTTGATGCTGATCACCCCTATTCTTTCATGTGATCCAGGTGAGTATAGAGAAGGAAAGAATAGGGGTGATCAGCATCAAATACAGTTAAATGAAAAAAATTTTGGCTTTGGGGTTTTTTTTTTCTGATGTTCATGACTGGTTTTTTTGTTCTCCCACCTTTCTGACAGCTCCTCAGTCTCCTTTGCCAATGATATATCATCACTGATGCTCTACTCTCAGTGAGTACCCCAAGGACTATCAATAGTGCCAGACCCTACTCTCTCTGGAGCTTCAGACCTTAAGTCCTATCCTTTCAATGGTCTTCAAATGGATCAAATGAGCTATGTGTAAAGGGCTTTGCACAGAGCCTAGCATATAGTAGGCACTTAATGACTGCCCTCCTTTCATTCTCCCATGACACTGTCCTGTTCCTGCCTTTTGCACAGGTCCATCCTCCATGCTTGGAATGTATTCCTTCATCCTTTATGTCTCTGGGCTCTATCAAAGCTCAACTCAAACACCATCCACATTTCCTTAACTCCCCAACAATTAATGCCTCCCTCTCTGCCCCCAGATTACCCTGTATGTCATTTCCTCAACCCAGTAAAACCTAAATTCCTTGAAAACAGATTATTTCATTTTTGTCTCTAGCACCTAGACTTTATGTAGTGTCCAGAAGTTGCCTCAAAAGAAAATCCTGTTTCTGGCACATACTGGCCTATTCTGGGCAGCCCTGGGCAAGTCTATGGACACTTCAAGAATTTAAGTTGCTGGGGCAGCTGGGTGGCATAGTGATTAGAGCACTGGTTCTGGAATCAGGAGGACCTGAGTTCAAATCCAGCCTCAGACACATAACTCACTAGTTGTGTGACTCTGGCCAAGTCACTTAACCCCAACTGCCTCAGGAAAAAAAAAATTTAAGTTGCTAAGAAGGTGCTCAAGTCCCATACCAACAAGAACATGGATCTGGATCACTAGTCATATCACCTAGGGTGATGGCTGACATAGATTTTGAAGGTTGACTAAATTCCTTTCTAATTCCTAGGTCCAAAAAAGGAAAGTGCCAGGAATAGGTAAGCATCTTAAAGATGAGTTTGAGATCCATCCTCTCCTCAAACTGGCTGAAATCCAGGGCAGACTATATGTTACTGCTGTTTCCAAAAGACAAAGTAATGGCCTAACTGCATGTCATCAAATTTGGAGCTTCTCCAAAGTCAGAGTAAAAACCAAAACTTGAAAGACAAAAACTGGCTGGCTTTAAGCCCCATAGAGGTTAACAGACAGTCACCTACAGTATTTGCCCAAGGCTAATTAGATGGGATCTTCCCTTCCCTCTGCCTGTCACCTTGCCTATAAAAGGAGAATGATCCTGGCTGAACCTACCTCACAGGACTATTGAAGATCAAATGAGAATGTATGTAAGTTACCAGAACGCATTGGTTATGACTGTGGCTTCTGGGGAAAAGAAAGCCATGGTCAGGTTAGTAAATGAGAAGCGAGTAGTTCTGGGGGTGGAGGGACTGGTTCTTTATTTCAAAAGACATTTTGTCAATTTTCAGTATCAAAACACTTGCACTATTGGTTCCTCTTTCTCCAGATTGGCTCCCAAATAGACCACACCAAAGGAGAGTACATTTAAGCCAATAAGCTGCACGATGCAAACCTAACACAGACCTCACAGAAACCTTGCCAAAAAAAAAAGAAAGAAAAAAAGGAATTAAAAAAGATCAGCACACTGGCAGCCCATGGACTGCAGACAGAGAGAGAGCACTCACAGCCAGATGGGGGTGGAGGTGGGGTGCGGATGGTCCTGGTGCTCCCACCTGAGAGAAATAAAGCATCGTCAAAAATAATACATATAAAATTTTTAAAAAGTTTTGTACACAAGCTATTCAAGATTTCTCCAGCACTGAGTGATACAAAGCACAATGAGATGGCACTTTTAGAGGCAGCAGCTTCGGACCCAGGAACGGGTAATGAGATGAATTTCACTTGGCTAATCAGTGGCACAAAAACGTTATTTTTCAAAGAAGGTGAAGTGGGGATAGGAGTAGACACCCCAACTTCTGGGGCACATGATCCATTCTGCGAGTGAATGAGGAGAGGGAAGACAATTTGGTCTCAGAGAGGTCTTGTCTGTGTGATTTGCTTGTTTGCTACTGATGTAAATGTTTAAGAGAGATAAAAAAGGAAAAGATAAAAAACTAACCCAAGAATACCTTAAAGATGAAAACCTGAACAGCACTCTTTTTTGGCAAACTCCTCCTGGAATGACCTTTCTGGTTTGGCTGGTTCATGGTACAGAGCACTGAGGTTTCCCTTGGTGGAGTCTTTTCTTGGGCTATGTTCAGCTCTCAGTAGGGCACACTACCACCTTTTTTCTTCTTCTATGGAGAAGGGGCATTGTTTAGGTAGAAAGATTTACCATCCAAAAGGAAGAAAAGTGATTAGATGCAGCCTAAGGGGAGCTGGGGAATTATCTGGAATGTCTTACAAATGGCTGCTACAACAAAAAAGGTAATTACAAAATGTATACATCATACAACATGCTTTTTAAAGACACTATTGCATTGTGCTCATGTTCCCTTAAATGTTGTTCCCAAAAATGCTCAGCCCTTAGTCCATGTGGGATCTTTTAGGGGAGAGCTGCAGACAGTTTGGTGAAATTGACATGGGGAGTTGGAGGTAGGGGTGGGGTGGGGACAGGGTAAGCAAGGACCCAGAGAAGGAAGCAGCCTTCAGGTTAAAGGTCAGCTTCAGGCAGGCTGGCCTCCAGCGAAGTCAGAGTCAGTGGAAGGAGCAGCGACAGGGTGGGGCTGGGGGGAAAGGAGTTTCTACATCTCATTCAGGTCAAGCAGAGTCTGGTCCAGCATCCTTTGTGTGCAGAGGTGCTCCTCTTTGGTGCATTTCAGTTTATCTAATGGGAGCAAAAGGAAAGAGGTTACAATGGCTAAGAACAAAACTCCAAGCCCGTCCACACTAAGACTTGCTCCCTAGAGATGGGCGGTTACAGAATCTTATGGACCCAGAAGCAAGCTGCTGTTGCCTCACTTGGCTTTGCAGGCCTTTGTAGGCCTTTGCCTCCTGAAGCGACAGGTGCTGCTGTACTTCCTGTGGGAGGGAGTGTAGTCTGGTTATTTCCTAACCTTACAACCCCTACCCAGGCTCAAACTACAGTAACAAACATAACCCTATTCACCTCTGTGGTGAGCAAACCAAAAGACTGGGTGGGTGAAGAACAGTGCCAAGTAGAGGAAACTTCAAGTTTCCTCTGAGGGAGGAAAAAGCTGTAGGTTCCAACTGAAAGGGTGCCGGGTCTGGAGACAGAGGTCCTGGGTTCAAATTCCCCCTCTATAACTTACTAACTGTGCAACCTGAAGCAAGTCTCCTCATCTGAGTTGGACTAGATGGTCTCCCTGTGGTACTATGAGCCAAGATGAGGGCATTTCCAGTGGCAGGAAAGGTGAGGCTATGAAGACTAAATTGCTCTCCAAAGCAGAGAGTAGAACAATGGGTAAGAATCACGAGACTAGGGGCAGCTAGGTGGTGCAGTGGATAGAACACCAGTAGGACCTGTGTTCAAATCCAGCCTCAGACACAGAACACTTACTAGCTGTGTGCCCCTGGGCAAGTCACTTAACCCCATTGTTTAGTAGAAGAAAAAAAAAAGAATCATGAGAATGCTTCCATGAAAACTAGGCTCAGTGGGCCAAAAGATCTCTGAACAAAAAGAATACCATACCTCCCACCACCAAACTTTGCTGAAGTATCATGCAGGCCTGGCCTATGACTGAGTCAGTTATACTGAAGCATGTAACACAGGGAAGGGTGCTCTAGGGAACAAGATCAAGATGGACCAGAAATTGGCCAAGCCTCAAGAAGACTCTCCAACCCACCAAGTGAACCACCCTCCAGGTTTCTTCAGACAAAAGCACACAAGGTCATGAAAGCTGAGAGTCAGGACAACACCCATCCTTTGTTCCAATCCAATTTCTTTGCCCTTTCTCACCCCAGCCAGAACCGGCCCAGGCCTGGGCCTATAGATGAAGCATAGCTACACCATACAATCAATTCAGTCCTTTTATTGTTATAAACCATCCATGCAAAACGAACACATCCTACAATCAGCGTACAAGCAAAGGAACAGCTAGGATTTAAGGAGAGAACATATCAAGGAGATGAATTCTCCTGGACCTACTGGCCTCCCAATTTTTAGTTTCATTTGGAGTCAATGTCCACCCCCATCCCCTCCCCTGCAAATTCGTGTAAAAAGGGTAAGGAATGTCTGTACTGATTCTTTAGGACTTATACAGCCATGGAAAGGTTACCTTAAAAGGGTTATTTTTCTTCAAGTATTAGAGGCAGCTAGATGGCACAGTGGATAGGGCACTGGACCTGGAGTCAGGAAGACCTGAATTCAAATCAGCTCCAGATATTTACTAACTTGTGACCCTGGGCAAGTCACTTAAACCTTCAACTGCCTCAGTTTTCTCATCTGTAAAATGGGGATAATAGTACCACCTACCTCCCAGGGTTGTTGTAAGGATAAAATCAGACAATATTTGTAAAGTGCTTTGCAAACCTTAAAGCGCTATATAAATGCTAGACATTATTATTTTTCAACTGCCCCAATTAAACAAGAGTTAGTTTGCTCAGCCAGGGATAAGAGGGGGGTACTGATCAGCTTTTGCTGGGGTCCAGGCCAATGAACCGTAAGCTTGGTTTAAGGGGCATTAGTGAGCCCCTTCCCGTCAGTCACACAGATCATGCAGCGTTAACTTCAGCTCGTTAGAGAGCAGGCGGTTTCGCTCAAGTTGGCTGTAGAGACGCTCTGCAACAGCGACAGAGGAGGAGAGGGGAACAAGAGGAAGAGAAAGGGAAAGAGGAGGAAAGGAGAGAAAAAAGGGAAAGTTAGTAGAGTACTGGAAGTGAATTGAGTTTTACAACCAGTTGGCATTACACATGCATCAGTGAATCACACTGGATGGGAGAAGGATTTGGACAGAGAATGGTCCAGTCAGCTAGCATCAAACAGTGTGGAAAGATGGTCAGGTGAAGGGGCCAGATCAGCAAAAGAGGAAAGTTAAGACTATGGGAAGGTAACTGGACACAACATTGAAGCAGGAAAACCCTGCAGTGCATCATCGCTTGTGTCAAAGACTAGGGCACACAAGAAGTTGCACAGAATGAGGAAAGAATTGTCCCCTTTGAAAGGCTGGGCTGCATTTCTCCTCTACCCACTCCGGTGCCCACCTATCTGCAGGGAGTTATGTTTTAGCCAATTAAGAGGTCAGGTCATCACTGAACCAAAAACCAAACTAGCAACCAAGATGTCAGCCTGTGTGTAAAATACACATCTGATCAGTAACAGGGAAAGGGAGCTGGGCACAAGCCAGCCAACCCTTCTCTTGCAGTTATATAGCTCTGAAGTTAAAAGAACAGCTTTTCTTCAGCTTTTTATAACAGTTCCCAGGACTATCTCAGAGCCTTGGTTAGTTTAACAAAGTACCAGCTATTCCCCAAATGTAATATGCTTTAGAAGACTAAAACTGTCAGGCTTTTTAAGGGCCTCTCCTTAGACTGTGGTTCCCCCCCCCCCCTTTTCCTTCCCTCTAAGAAGCCAAGGGAATCCTAGAAGCACAAGGATATCCTTAACAATAGCCACCTCATCCTCTGGCCACAAAACCAATAGTAATTGACCAACCAACCAGCACCCGTTCCTCTTAGTGCCAAAAAATGGCTGACAGTAGGAAGCAGCTGGACTATGGCCCATATCTTCACATACAGCCTCTGATCATACCTTCAGTATGTAAGTCATTATTCTCCCTACAAGGCCTTATATGTAGATCCTCCTTCTATATGCTAAGGCCTAGTAAAGAAAACTTCCTTTCACCTATATCCTTATTCCATATGTGTCTTATAGAGCCACATCCAAGGGGAATAGAGTTTATGACAGATAGTACGGGGGGAAAAGAAGAGAGGAACCTGAAAATCCTGAACATTTCTGTTCTCTTTTTAAAGAGTATTTCTTTTAGGATGAGACTTGAGGGGACTAACGGGTTGTACATCCTACCCACTTGGAGGCCACATAAAAACTATACAATCCTGCAATCAACGTCAACAATTCTAGATTCCTGCCTGGCTTGCATCAGACAAAACACAGTCTGTATTTGGAAGTGAATGCTATCTTTAACATCCCTATTCCATTCTCACAGAGCACAGTTTTCCCAAATGCTTCAGAAATATCATAGAATCATAGGTCTCTATGTGGTCAGGAAATCCTCAGGCTCCTAGGTCTCAAACTCTAGCCACACCCTACAGAACTTTGATTCCTATTTAGGGAAGCTTCTGAGGCCCATTCGTCATTATACTATCCTTACAAATGAAGATGTAAGCAATTAGGCAGCATACATTCCACTTAGGAAGAATAAGGAACTATAAAAAACTATCAGAGGTGAGTAGGGGCAGAGTAAGTATTTTAGGAAGTATTTTGGTGTCAGATCAAACCCTAAACTGGCTCTATAGAATGTCTGAGGCCCAAAGTCACACAGAAGGGGATATTCTCACCTTGGACTCAAGGCTCAAAAAAAGGATCAGAGATTTTGGAGCTGGAAGGGACCATGGTGGTCTATCTGCTCAACCCTTACTTTACAAATGAAGAAACAGGCTTAGTGAGGTTGACTTATTCAGTGTCAAGAGCTAGATCTGAACCCAAGTTAGATACCTAACTTTATATGGAGTGAGTGTTCCTTCTACTAAGCTACTTCAACAAAAATGAATTGCTTCAAGTCTTATCACCAGATTGACCTTATATCCCCTTTCCTCATGCTTTGATAGTTAATAAGGAATTTAAGATCAGGTACTAGGTTCAACAGTTAAAGACACATATTGGTAGGTAGTATGTATCTTAGTAACACTTGTAAGGAAGGCAATACACAGCACACATCTGGTCCAATGTTCTTTCCCTAGCCCTGCCTACTTATGGGTCAATCCATTCACTAGGACATACTTGAGCTGCCATGAGCCTAAAATAGGTTAACTTTCCTTTTAGCATGGAGAAGGGGAGACAGGGAGTTATCTCAGCCTTTTAAGATCAGTAAGTAAATATAAATCAGAACTAATTTTTATAAGCCTCAGTTTCCTCATCTCTAAAATGAGGGAGTTAGAGACTAGACAGCTTGTACATATATGATCCTATGATACTAAAATCCACTTACTGGAGAGTGGCTCACAAACAGACTGAAGGATTATGCCCTGGGAATAAGAGACTTGGGTAGGGCTAAAACCAAAGATGCCTGAACCACTTGGCTGGTGAGGTGGGGCTCAGCCACCTTTTGTTCTCTATCACAGACCTGACAGGTAGGTGAATGATTGAATAATTCTCTAAAATAACCTCACAATGTCACCCTTCTTTCCGAGCTCAAAGGAAAAAAAAAGGCCAATTGAATGGTCTAGGACCTAGACTCTAAGTGATTTAAAAATACTATACCCTTTGCCACTGGGATCAACAAGCAATGAGGGCATTTTAATTCAGTCAGGTCTCCCTAACTGATTAAGAAGTTTATTCTTAAGACAAACAAGGATAGGAGATATTGAATAGCAGGTAAAGCTATTATTTTCCTCAAGATTAGATTCACACTGTTCAAGTTACCATTCCCTGTGGTCACCCATTGCACAGCTAGTATGGATGGGCAAAGACTTTTTGGAAAACTTAACCTCCAACTCTAACTTCCTTACTTCACTAAGGAAATTAAGGTAAAACTCCAGCTTCCTGCTCCATTCTTTCTCAAAGGAAATGATTACTCCTTTCCAAGACTGATCCTAGAGGCATTCTCTCTTGCCTCTGCAGCCTGTCAATTAGGTTCTTCTCTCACTCTATATTATTTATATCCCTCCCCTTGTTGTCCGTGTTGGGTCTATCTCACCTTAAATAAATCTTGACCCTGTTCCCATGTCCAACTTCAAAAACTGTAGTTATGATCTTTGGAAGATGGAAGGATCTCAGAAGCCATCTAGTCCAACATTTAAGCAAACCAAGAAACTCTAAAACATTGCTAATAAGGGCAAATTCTGCCCTTTAGCCATAGTCATTTAGAGAAGGGCCCACAATTTCCTCCCTTCTCCCTATTAAACAGACTATTTCATCCTTGGACAATTTCTAATTATTAGGAAACTTTTCCTTTCATTGAGAAAAGAATGCTGAGACTTCCTTCTACCTAATCCTAACCTATGGAATGAAAAGAACAATGACTTTTTCCCCCCATGTGACATTTGGAATACTTACAGGCAGTTATTCATCAACCTTCTTAAACTGTGGCTCCAAAAGCTGAACAGTCACCATATCCCATTTCATCACTTCCAACTCACTCAGTTCCTTATAACCTGCCTTCTATCCCCACTACTTACTAAAATTATTCTTGGACAAACTCAACTGTTTTCCGGCAGTCCTTATCCTCAGCTCTGTCTTTTAACACTAGATTAACACCCTCTCATCCCTTGGGTTCTGTGATACTATACTATCCCAAGTCTCCTCTGACCCTTTCCTCCTCTCATACAAACTGAGTCCTGTTATTTCCCCAAAATTCTGTCCTCAGTCTTTAATTCTGTTTGTGATTTTGTATTTATTGACAGCTTCACCTCTATGAAGAGGTAGCTCCAACATCAAGTGCCCTCTATTCATCTATCTACCAAGCATGGCTCTCCTATTTATTAGTGTTACTACTATTACCACCATTCTTATCACCCAAGCTCAAATGCTCAATCTGTTTCCTGTCTACATCCCCTTCCTTTCCATTCCCACTTTCACCATCCAAGTTCAGCCCTTTTATTGCCATTTAAAAAAAACTTTCCCAATGGTCTTTCCCCAACCCTATCCCACTTCTCTCTTTCTCTACCTCTGAGCTGTCCTGCTGACAGGTCAATCTTAACATATCATGCTGTATGTGGAGTCTGGTAGAAAAAGGGCCAGTCAGATCTGGATTCTAGGTTCTAGTATGGATACATATAAACCATGTGACCCTGAGCAAATCAATCCCTGAACTTAAATTTATCCAACTATAAGAGGGAAATATTTGTATCATCCACCTCTAATGCTACACATGACAATGTCATTGCCTTTCACAAAAATCCCCAACGGCTCCCCACTTTCTGTTAAACGTCCAGATGCCTTAGCATAGCAGGCAAAATCCTCCCCATCTGTGATATGGCCCCACTGTTATCTTCCCAGTCTTGCCAATGACAATTTAGCTAGAGCAGAGGAATATTGTTTACCTTACCACTTCCCAAATGTGCTTTCCTACCTCCATGCTTTTTATTAGCTTGGAATGCTTTTATTTATCCTGTCAAAAAATCCTATCCAGCTTCTTTATGAAACTGTCAACTTCAGTCATCAATCTTTCCCTCCTCTAAACTCCTACAGAAAATTCATAGCAATCTGATGGCACCATATATTGCTCTCTCTATGACAAGCATGTGAATTTCTTATCCCTCCTGAATTAAAAGGCAGATTTATTTTTATTTTATTGTTGTTTTCTCCTTACCATGATGGGTGTTTGATAAAATACTTGCTAAATCAGTAATAATTCCCTGGTTCATTCTTTCTGAGGCATAATAGCAAAAGAAGCACATCTGACGTTGCTAACTTCTATATTCTAGGTTCCCTTTTGGGATAGAAGCCTGACTTTCTGGGAAAATGGAGACCAGTCATTCCTAAATAGGATTTCTACTATGGAATTGAAGAGAAACATAAGTGTCTAGAAGTTATATCTCCTAAATGAGAAACCAATATAGACTGGGGGGAGGTAGGGGAGACTCTTCTATTAGAACAGCAGATGTTTGAATCATTAGACTCTTTACTACAAGGGTTGAGAGCTTAGAAGGTGTTTGTGGTCTTTTCAATGGAAGTAAAGAACGGGACAAAAGACGATAATCAAAGGTGGAATGGTTTAGAAGCTTGGGGGGAATTGACCTTAAAAAGGTCTTTTCAACTTAAAGAAACAGGATTCTCTCAGAATCCACTAAGGACTCTGAACTATTATACCATTCTGATAGTTCAACAAATCCTCTAAATATCAGGAAAGAATAAGCAAGACACACAAAAGTAGCTTTGATTTCACAAGTCATTGAGGAAGGAAAGCCCACCATGCCTGCTCCCCATACCACACCCCTGAAAAGTCAGTTCCTTGCTTTGGACGGCAACATGTTTGTCAAGAACACAAAAGCTGGGTTGAGTGAGGCATCCAGCGGCTTGGAAATATTTTAATTTGGGGTGGAAAAAGGGGAATGAATACATAATTACTTTGTGAGCCCCCCCCATGCCCTGGGGACCAGCCAGGCCCACCCAAATGGAATCCAGGAAGAGCACAGGACGTTGGGGGTGCTGAGAGAAGGGTTGTTTCCCCGAGCAGAGGGGGCAGATCCGGAACAGAGCAGAAACGGTGAGAGCTTATCTGTGTGGAGAAGTGAGAATAAGACCCCAGATGAGAGGGGCTTTCAACAGTCAAGGCACACTCAGGAAAGAAAAATAGTAGGGAAAAGAAAAGAGGAGGCAGGAATTATGGCCAGACTTTTGGCCTCTTTTTTGATTTAGTAGGAAGGAGGGAGAAAGTCAGAAGATTAGACTCAAGGATCAGAATCCACAAACAGAAAAAGGCCCTAAACAAATCTCTCTGGTGCTGGTTACTTCCCACTCATTTCTAGGACTCAGCTGGAGTTTTAAAGAACAATAACTTGGTCTTCCCTGGACCGGATCACAAAGTACTACAATATGTCCATTGTAAGGGACTTTTGCTTTGTAAGGGTGGGCTTCTCAAGTCCAAGCGAGTCATTTACAATTCGGGCTCCAATTTCTCCATGAAACAGAGAAACACCCTAGCCTTAGTTGAGGAGACAAAAAGACAAGAGACAATGTAACAAACACAGCACAAACAAAAGGTATGTTGTCTACACTTTACAAAGGGGACCACTGACCAGTTTGTTAGGACTGGGAGGGAGGTCCCTAGCTTTCTCATTGCCTTAGCAATGGCCAAACCAGCAACCAGCACCACCTTTATTCTGATACTGAGGGCAAAGGTGGAGATGTTAGTGTTTCCAAAGACAGACACCAAAACACCACAGCACTCTCTGCACACCCTGTCCTCCCAGAGACAAAAGCCCAACCCCACTCTGTCAGATAGTTACATAGAGGTCATGTCATTGAGGGCGTGGTCCAGTTCCTCGCTAATGGCCTTGTACTTCAGTTTCTGGGCATAGAGCTCATCTGGAGGAAAGGCATAGACAGGAACCCAAGAAAATAATACAGGGACAGAGGTGAGATGTGCCAGGGGTGGAGGGAATGAGGGCATCATCGACAAGGAGAAGAAAAAAGAGTGGCTGTGGCATAGGAAGCACAACTGGGGCAGCAGGAGTGGGCCTGAACTGGAAGCCATTCCTCTGATCCCAAGAGGGACAACTTCTACTTAGACTATCAGGGCTTTTCTTTCCTCTCTCCAACCCAATGTAGAAGTGTTTGAGGATGGTCATTCCTTTGGGGAGGTTCTTATGCCTGTGGCACTCCGGAGATACCCCACTCACTGAGAAACAAACCCCTGGGAGTGAGACAAATCAAAATAAGGTACCCTGCCAGTATTTAAAATGCTGCTCTAAGGCATGGAGGTTCTTATGCCTGTGGCACTCCGGAGATACCCCACTCACTGAGAAACAAACCCCTGGGAGTGAGACAAATCAAAATAAGGTACCCTGCCAGTATTTAAAATGCTGCTCTAAGGCATATCCACTGTTCCTACTATTCTTTCAGAAGGGATATTCAACAGCTTAACCTGTGCCCATAGGGAGAGAATGCACTGCTGGTACTTAAGATGCTGCCGAACAGGCACACCACTCCACTATTCCAGGCATTTTGATGCCTCACCCTCCCAACTTTTCAACAGGGATATTATACAACCTAACCTGTGGCTAGTGTTCAAGTGTTCCCAAGGCCAGAGTGGCTGATGGGTCACTTAGGAAGTGGTTAGAAAGCTCTAGATATTGCTCTGCCTCGGGGTGCAGGCACAGCCACAGCTTCCCTTTTTGGAGGACGTTAGATGCCGAAATTAAAGAAGTCTTGAAAGGTGACTTGATCGCTGAAGCCACCGCAACACATGAAGAGCTTGGTTTCAAATGTCACCCAAGCGCTAGGGGCATACAAAAAGGCTGCATGGGAGGTGAGTTACTGTCAATTTCCTCAAAAAACTTCAAAGTATAAGGTACAAATTCTGGGAGCAGATTAAATAGGAGAAAGTAAGGTACTTCCCCTCTTTGCAATCATAAGACAGAATGCCACTCAATACAAAGGGCATGTACCAAGTCCCCCCCGTGTCTCCAGAGAAAGCTGCAGAGGCAGATAATTCTCTGCAGTCTTCAGAAATAGAAGGCCTCTAAGGAGCAACATCTCTACCTACTTGCCCTTTACTTCTATCCCTTTTGCTTCATACCTTCCAAGTCATCAATTGTCTTTTCCAACTTGGCTACCGATCTCTCAGCAAACTCAGCACGGGTCTCTGCCTGGGGAAGATACAAAACTGATCAGAACCAGAGATGTGCAAATCTGAAATAAAAAGGACTCCCCACCCCCTTTTGCCACCTAGATCCACGCCTGTACTGGCAAAGAAAACTCCCAGTCACAAGACTCCTACCAATGCAAAGGAGGCAACCCATTCTACAACCTTAAGTCTTAGAAAGTTGACCAAGGTCCTAAGGAATTTCCCCCAGGGCACACAGCTAAGAGGGAAGCAGCAATATGCCTAGAACCTGGGTCTTCCTAACTTCATTACCATTGCCTCTCTACTTTTTTTTTTTGGTGAGGCAATGGGGATAAACTTGCCCAGAAGCACATGTAAGTGTTATGTGTCTGAGGCCGGATTTGAACTCAGATCCTCCTGACTCCATGGCCAGTGCTCCATCTACTTTGCCACCTAGCTGCCCCCGCCTCTCTATTCTTGAGGCCCCAAAGCTAGATGGTTCACGCTAATATGGCCATGTATTACTTTAGTTCTCTCTGACAGCTCACCTCTTTGAGTTTATCAGTAAGAATCTTTATCTCCTCCTCATATTTGTCTTCTTTCTGAGAATACTGCAAGACAATTAAAGTAATAATGGTTAGACCAAATTATCCTCATTGACACTAACCCACCCCCCCAAGAGCCAATGGAAATTAATGCACTTAATGCCTCATGAGGAGAGGGGGAGTGGGTAAGGGGAGTTCTTTTAAAATTCATCTCATGTTCTAATTATCCACAGGCCTGATGTTCCAGGGCCCTTTTGATGGCAAAACTGCATTTCTTGATTGTCCTAAACTTTAAGAAGCTACCTTCTTTCCCTATTCACAAGGAAAGCCAGGGTCAAGATAACCCTTAATACACAGTCATTCACACTGATGGCAAGTGAAAAAATTAGTCCCCTGTACCTCTCACTAGACCTCAAATATGATACTACCTGCAAACCTATTTAGGTCAATGATAACTGCCTGTTTATTAAAAATTACAGGCCTGCCCTTTTCATACCTAGAAAGCTATTTTAAACTTTAAAGCTCAGAGGGCATGAAGAATCAGTATCAGCCACCATGATTTGAACAGAGCAGTGGCCAGGAAAAAAAAAAAAGGAGGGTTTCTCGTGCTGGATGCACATGGTAGGGCTGGGCCCAGGCCCCAAGCCTGTCCCTTTCACGAACCAGCCCCTACCTTCTCCGCCTGAGCCTCAAGAGATTTGAGGTTGTTGGTGACATTCTTCAGCTCCTCCTCCAGCTCAGAACACTTACTGTGGATGTTTTAAAGAAGGCAGGAGAAGAAAAGGGAAGAAGAAAACAAAGAGGAGAGAGACACACAGATGTGAATCTATAGGTAGAGAGGGTTGAGAAGTCACCAAGGGAGAGAAGTACTAAGACAACTCTGAACAGCCCCATTCTTTCCACCCCCACACTACTAGCAGCACAGGGGAAGATTAACCCCTTCTAGGTTGGAACCCAGTATGCTGAAAGACTAATGATGTAAGAGAAGAACCCCTAAAAGACATGCTCCTGATGGGACATTTTTCAGGAACAGGGCACAGCATTGCCCAGGGTGGAGATGGGAGCTGCTGCCCAGCCAACCATCCCTAATCCCCCAAGAGAAGGACAGGCCCTGTGGAAAGGCAGTAAAGCAGCTAGGAAGGAAGAAGTGAAGGATGCCAAGTCAGTGGGAAAGAATGGAGCATTCCATGAGAGAGATGAGAAGACTAGTCAAACAAACCAGTGGAGGGGAGGCAGCTGCAAAACAAAATCAAACCACAAACACAAACACGCACACACGCGCACACCCTTTCAGCAGGTGCAACAGTTAGTACCTTTTCTTCAGCAGCATTCAGACACTTCAGGTTCTGGTCCATCAGTCTGATCTGCTCATCCATCTCCCGGCAACGGCTGTTAGTGTAGTCACAGGGGAAGGAGTGGAGGGGTGGGATGGCACAAGCCAGATTGTGGGGAGGGAGAAAGGTCAAAAAGAAGCACAGCAAGAATACAAGCAGCAGAGCAAAAGAAAAAAAGGGAAGGAGAAAAAACAAACCACCATGGTCATGACATGCTGTGTCTGGGATACAGGTAGGGGGATGGGTGGGAAGCATAAGTATGCTCATGTTAGGGGTGACTTTGTTACACAAGGCCCAGAAGATGCTAAGATAGAGCAGTAAGTGTCTGTCCTTTTCCTAATTAACAAATATGCCAAGTAACAATGGCAGCCTCTGTACTCCTCTCCCTCCATGCCACCTAGGACTTGGGGAGGAGAGGAAGACATACAAGAGCAGAACAGTGGCCCCATTTTGAGGCTAGGATGGCAGAGACTCTAGGTTACACGTTTTCCCCACCCATCACTGAGTAACTTCTGAATATTCTACACAAAAGACATTCCACAGCCAAGTCTTCTACAATCTTCTCTTTGAAGCCCATTTTATTCTTCAAGTAAGCGCCAGACTTCTCCAACCCCAAAGGCCTTGTTTAACAAGATTGAAGGAATGCTGGTTTTTTCCACATTAGTGACCATAACAAAGGAAAGGTGACCAATGGTTGTAACAAGGTTTTGGAAGTTAGATACTCACGACTCAGCCAGCTCGGCCCGCTCCTCTGTGCGCTCCAAGTCCCCCTCAATAATCACCAACTTGCGGGCCACCTACATACAAAATACCAGGCCAGGGATCAGTGAAGGAAAGCAAGAGCTCTTGTCCTTCAACATGTTTTGTGTCCCCCTTCCAAAAGGGCTCTGGAGCAGAGCTCTGGACCCACAGCCAGGAGAAGGCCTCACCTCCTCGTACTTCCTGTCTGCTTCTTCTGCAATGTGTTTGGCCTCTTTCAGTTGGATTTCTTGCAGTTCCATTTTCTCTTCATCCTTCAAGGCCCGATTTTCAATGACCTTCATACCTCTACAAAGAGAACACAGCAAATAAGGATATACGTGGGAACGAAGCAAGAACCCTGAAGAATTCACAAGCCTATGGCTCAAGGAATTGCTCTTTTTCACCTAATTTAATCTACCTGTAGGAAGGCAAATATCCAAGTGACAAAGATGAGATAAGAATTAGCTAGGAGAATGAAACTACAAAGGCTTATTGTAACTGGGAGGGACTAACTTGTAGATACCATAAACATAAGTTAACTGCAGACTTCAGAAATCCCAAGGAAGCAGTTGTATGAAGAGTCATAAAGTTCAAAAGCCCTTTCCCCATATGCTATACCTTAATTAAAGGAAGACTGAGATCAACAGAGAAGAAACAGAAAACCTCAAAACTGGACTGAATAACTGAAAAGATTTCTTAGAATGGATAGGTAAAGAATTTAAAGAGATGTAGTGAGCAAACCTTTTGCCTACTGAAAGCCATGGAACAGTTCAAGCACCCAGACTTACCTCTCACTCTCATCAGCTGCCTTCTCTGCCTCCTCTAGCTTCTGCAGAGCAGTCGCCAGGCGCTCCTGAGCACGGTCCAGCTCCTCTTCAACCAGCTGGATCCGACGGTTCAAGGAAGCCACCTCAGCCTCAGCCTAGGTAGAAAGGAACAGAAAAGGGTAGCAGGGGACATTGGGGAGAAAGGCTAAAAGCTCAAAACTGCACAAACAAGGTCACTATTATAAGGAAGCCACAGTAATTGAGCAAGGCCAAATTCTACCCAGCTGATTAGGGACTTAGTATATGCATAAACTCCCTTCACCCCAGCCACGCTCTACAGGAACAGGGTTTCAGAAATCAGCTTCTTGCCCAGCAAGTCAGCACCACCCCTTTTTTGGTCCCAATTCAAGTTTGTAAACACAACAGGGCTACAAAAATGCAGGCAGAGAAGAGTTCTCTACTGCTCCGAATTCTGTCTTAGAGAGGAGAGAATAGGGTTCCTTAAAGAAACAAGGAGACCTGGTTACATGCCTGGATTAATCTAGCAATTTGTTTATGACACCACAACACCTAATGAACTCTTTAACCATTTCTAAGGACAAGTACCAGAGAAAAATTATGATATGTTCTTCCAAAGTAGCCTCTAGAGTCAGGGCCAAGAGAAGACATATCAGGGCCCCAAACCACTCCTGAACATTAATCTCACCCAACCCTTCAACATTTGCTTTCCAAAGCCCTTTAAAGAAAAGAAGGAAATAAAAGGACCTCTGGCCTGCCTAAAATTATCTTTGACATCCAAGAGACCAGAAAAACAGCAGAAGGGAGAAATATGTATGTCTACCCACACATTTGCTTCCTTCCTTGAAGAATCTTTGTTTCTGAGAAGCCTCTCTCATATTCTCCCACAACCCCCTAACAAAGACTACCTACTAATAATTTCACTAGCTTTATCTCAGCCTCAGTGTAATGTTATAGAAAGAATGCTCAATTTGTAGTTAGTTGGAAAACCTGAATTTGAGTGCCAGCTCCACTACACCCCTAAGATCATTATGACTAGAAAGTTACAACCTCTTTAGGCCTCAGTTTATCAGCAAAATATGGGAGATGGACTATCTAGGTGATCTTTAAGATTTAACAGACTAATAAGCTCCTTCCTATATGCACTTTCTAATATGAATAATAAATCATTCCGCTTTCTAAGGTGCCTACTATTGATGAGTGACAGGCTAAGGATGCTGAAGTCCAGGAAATTTCAAGTCTTCGATCCACACGTTAGAAACAAGGGGCAGGATGAGAGGAAGATCAGAAAGTAAGGAATTCTAAAAAGGTTACAAAACTTGTAATTTTCAAAGCTTCTCAGACTGCTCTTTTCCATCAAGCAAAACTCTGGCTGCTACAATAGTATAAGAATTTAATCTACCCTGCACCCCACTTAATTCAGATGCTTATCCAAGCACCTTGTAAACATGATCTCAGCTGGCAATGACTGTGCCTGAATCCTGCTGCCCTGATTTTCTCCCACCCCACCCCACTTTGTGGGTGAGCGGGGTTGGAAGAATGTACAGCCAAATACAATTATGCTAAGAATCAGTCCCTTTGGCACCCAAAACTCAAACAAAGGAGGCCAAGAGGAAATCAGGTGGGGAAGATTGCAATGCTAATGTGCTCAGCCAGTAGGGAATCTGACAGAGGCAGCTGGTTCCCCACCCTGTTAAGCTTGTTAGATAGCAAGGGGTTTATTTATTTTGGGAGGAAGGGGTGTTAAACAATTTTAAGCTGGGGCAGCTAGGTGGCGCAGTGGATAGAGCACCCGCCCTGAAGTCAGGAGGACCTGAGTTCAAATCCGACCTCAGACCAAACACATGACATTTACTAGCTGTGTGATCCTGGGCAGGTCACTTAACCCCAATTGCCTAAAAGTTTAAAAAAAAAACTAATTTTAAGCTGATCATATTTAGCCTGTGGGCCACAAGCTATATGGTCAGTTATTAGAAGTTTGCCCAAATAAATTGTCTGAAAATCCATTTCAACCTTACCAGACCATAGGAAAATACCTCTAGCCCTAATCCATCCAAGGAAGAAATTGTCTCCCAGGAAGCATATTTTTCTTGCAGTACCTTGCAAAGTCTGACTGGATAAAGTACAGGAAGTCAGGTTTACAGTAGAGACTGTGAAATACTCCCAATCTAATCATTGTTTTCTAGATAACAAGAGATTCCAAACAAAGAACTGAAGCAGGTATTGGGAACAGCTGAGGAGAGCATCAGGCATTTCACTGGATGGAAGGGAGGTTCCTGCCATTCTGCAGCAGGAGAACTTAGACTATGGGGGTGGAGAGAGGTATACAGGTTTCCATGACAACAAGCTAGCTTGGGCGGTTTCTCTCACAAACCCGGCATTTACAATAGCATTCTTGCATTCTTTGCAAGGGCAGACAGAGAGAGAGAGAGAGAGAGGGAGAGGGAGAGGGAGAGGGAAGAGGGAGAGAGGGAGAGGGAGAGAGGGAGAGAGGAGAGAGGGAGAGAGGGAGAGAGGGAGAGAGGGAGGAGGGAAGAGGAGGGGAGAGGGAGAGGAGAGGGAGAGGGAGAGGGAGAGGGAGAGGGAGGGAGAGGAGGGGAGAGGGAGGGAGAGGAGAGGGAGGAGGAGGGAGGGAGAGGAGGGGGAGGGGAGAGGGAGGGGGAGGGAGGAGGGGAGGAGAGGGAGAGGGGGAGAGGGGGGGGAGAGAGAGGGGAGAGGGGGAGGGGAGGGAGGGGGGAGGGAGAGGGGAGAGGAGAGGGGAGAGAGGGAGAGGGGGAGAGAGGGAGGGAGGGAGAGGGAGAGGGAGAGGGAGAGGGAGAGGGAGAGGGAGGGAGGGAGGGAGAGAGGGAGAGGGAGAGGGAGAGGGAGAGGGAGAGAGAGAGAGAGAGAGAGAGAGAGAGAGAAGAGAAAGAAAACAGTGATGCTTACACATGACAAAGGTAGGCAGAACCAAAGATAGGAAATCTCAGTAATTTCTTCAGAGACAACTCCAAACCTAGTTCTTATGTATTGTTGCAATTGGGCAACTGAATCAAGATCTGGTCTTTGGTTTGAGATTAGGACTACCCTGACTTTCAGTCAGGCCAGGACCCAAGAAAGGAGGGAAAGATGAGTGGAACAGAGATGTAGACTGACAAAAGATCTGGTCCAAGTCCTCTAACTTTATCACTTACTCAGAAACACCCTTGGAGACAGTCAATTCCCTACTCTAGGCTTCAATTTCCTCAACCATAAAAGGAGGGAAACAGACTAGACTTAAGATTTTGGTTTAAACCTTCCACCTTTAACATGTCACGATTTTATCGTCTCATATCAAGAGAAGAAATCCCATGAGCTGGACCAGCTGCCTCCTGGGGATGGTGAGATAGATGGAGAAAATACTAGGTATAAGCCCTTATATACAATGGAATAGAAAACACTTAAGTTCTGAATCTGTAGCCACTGGAATTATACGGAGAGGGGCTCTTCTGCTTAACTCTTTAGCACAGAGCCTTGCACACAGCAGGTGCTTAATAGATGCTTGTTTCTTTCCCTTCCACTCTCAGTTATGGATCTGACCTTTTGGATTTTGTCACTCCTCCCTGCCCCCCACTAGATTAGTTCAGTTAATTATTCCCGATCCACTAAACCTACAACACTTCTAAAGAGGAGGCCCAGGTGGTCACAGTGGCTCTAAGATGGTGACCACCAGCCCAAGCCACTGAAGCCATCTCATTTTACATCCTTCACAAGCCACCAACACCACCAAAATCAGATTCATGCACACTAGATTCCACTTAGACCTAAGCCAGGAGACTGCTCTGTGCAAACAACTGATGCCCCAAAAGTCAGGATAAAGACAAGGAGGGAATTAGTCCAAACCTGGCACTCTGCCACTGTGGGTTCTCTCTTTTTAAAGCAAAGTCACAAACGTTCAAAAGGAAAGAAAAATAGAAGAGTTATGCAGGAGCCCCAAGTGAGGGAAGAATTTAGTATTGGTCCCTTTATTGTGCTCATGTTTCTCTACTACGGAAGATATGTGTGACCTTGACGAATTTAACTTTCTATTTTGGGGGGCAGGGAGGAAAAGGATGAAAGCCCTAGGGTAGGCAAAGGTAGAAGCAAGGCTAAGGCAATAAGAGCAAAGGGCTCTTGGCCCCTCCCCAAAGTGTATATATGGGTTTAAAAAGGCCAGAGCTGTATCTGGGCTCACCAGGCCCCACAGAGAATTTGCCATATAATATTGTCCAGCACTAGTTCCAAGGCCTGGAATCTAAGACTTAGGCCAGTCTTTGGTATGTGCTGTTGAGAGTCCATGAACGCCCTCACCAGAACTCCTCTAGACAGGCAAACAATAACAAAACAAAACCTCTCAAAAGCCACCAGGGTAGTAGTAGGGGCAAAACACAAAAGAGTAGACAAGCTTTCATATATTATCACCTTGTTTCCATTAAGGCAGTGCTGTAATGTTAAGTCTAAAACTGAAAGTGTTATTTCCAGGGTCCCTTCTTTACAAAAGTTAATCATCAACAGACACATCAATGACCCTAGTATCACATCACTAAACTGCTTCCTCATCCCTTCCCTACCTAACTAGAGGCTGGTTCTAGGAGTCCAGATAAAATGAGCAGCCAAAGAAAGCCAAAAGGAAAAAAAAAACTTAAGTAACAACTTGAGTGTGGTATGGGAGTGCAGAAGTCAGCCTACAAATCCATACTCCAGGATGTTCTAGAAAAGGTAATAAGAGGACCCAGCTCCATTCCCTTCCCCCAGAGGAAGGGAAGACAGAGGAAAAAGGTAATTATTGGATTCCCCTGAGCTGGAGAGGGGGAACACTCTCATTATACAAGGACATTAGCCTACTTCCCCTTTTTGAAAACTTCCTCACTAGTCCTCAGGGCAATAATCGGGTTTGGCAGGCTCCCCTTGATTGAGAAGCATTAATCTACAGCTACTCCCTAAGCACTCAAGACACCAAGGTTAGTCCTGAAATGGGCAAAAACAAAAAAAGCTAAATTAAAGCAGCTCAATTTATTCAGAGACCAAGGGGAAGAAACTAATCTATGAGATATCTATGGGATCATGAACAACGGTAACTTTCACCAGTATCTATTCAAGATCTCCTTCCATGAAAATGGAGTTCAAGATAATTTATCAACAGAAGTTCTAACATTGGGTGGGGTGGGAGGGTCCACCATCCACTAATTTAAGGCTAGAGTTAGCAAACAAATGGAGAAAAGGTGGGATACTTCCAATCAAAGGTGAATGCCATCTTGCCACAGCTCAGAGTACTTAATTGCTTATTTATTAAGATTATAATAATATTAAGTTTATTAATAAGATTATTATTAACTCTTAGTAATGTAAGAGCTTCAGATTTTTGCTAAGTACCTGGTTTAATGTCCAGCTCCACCATCACCCCCTCCCTTCAACTTGCTCTTTTCTTTAATTCCACTTCCCAAAACCAGAAGCTCTGAGTTGGGAAGTCCCCCAACCCACAAACCAGAGAAGTAAAGGCTGACCCTGGGGAAGAGGAACTAAAAGCAATAATAAAAACACGGATTTTCTCTTTGGCTACATACTCCGTCAAGTATTAAAACTATTAGGCCAATTACCTTCTCAATCCCTCTACTACCTATTATTTTCCACCAGACACAAGTACATCTTTCTTCTCCATCTTCCAGAGCCAGATATCTCTAAATCATATTATACTGCAGTTCATCTGTCTTGCAAAGTGCTACTCCTTATGCTATCCCTACCCCCTGCTTGACCACTTCTAAGGAGAAAGCACTTTCACAAAGCTTAGCAATAGCCTTCCTAGAATATACCAATACATATTTGGTACTTTCAAGGGCCCAAACCACTCTCTGTAGGAGCACCAAGGGAATAAGGATTCCAGGATGAAATAAGCAGACCCACAATTCATATCTACTAGTTCATCAGATCTGAAAAACCTGTTATTATATTGCTCATGTCACCAGAATTCCGAGCAGAAGCTGGCAGCCCACGTGAAGACCCTCTGCACACACATACATGCTTACCAGTTCAGTATGGAGGAAGTGTTCTTAACAAGTTCAACGGGATCTTGCTTCAGAAACAAAGACTTGACATTGGCAGAGGTTCCTGCCTTCTAAAAGCTAAACAAGCTCCCACATTGACATCAACATAAGAAAGCAGATTGAACCCCTGGTTCCCCTCCTGCCTCCCTCTTTTAGGGAGGGCAGATTTGTCCCGGGTAAAGGAAGGGGTGGGGGCAGAATTGGGGGAAAGGACCTTAGCAGAGAGAATTGGATGGGAGGCGTTGCAAGCCCCATTCTCTTGGGGGGGGGGGTGTACCGCATTTCCTCTCAACCTAACTGCTGCTTCATTTCCTGAATAGGCGGAGGGAGCGGAAAGACTGCCAGCAGCCTCGGCTGGGGGCTTTCCTGCCTCCCTTCGTCCTGACACCCTGAAACCCAGCCACGCGGCTTTGAGCCTTGACCATTGCTTACCCTCTAGGAAGCCGCTCGGGGGCTTTGCCCCCCAGCCCCCAGTCTCCTCTCAAGCAAAGGAAGGGGGTAGAAAAGCCCCTCCCCCGACCGCGCCCCAGCTTCTCCAGAATGAATGAATGAGCCTGGACCGGAGTGGGGGCTGGGGAGAAGCCACACCCTGGCCCCCGGTACCGCCGTGCAACCCTCCAGGTGCTAGGGAGACGGACGACTCCTACTCAGGCTGCCCCGCCTGTCCACTCTTGGGACCCAGTTCACCGACCTCCTCAACCCGATTCTGCCCAATGTTGGTCCCCCCAAAACCAGATGCTATCTCCCGGCTGGCCGGCCCCTTCAGGACTCGACGTGGTGACTTTCAAAGTCCGGGGTCCCACGTCCCTCCAGCCCCCGGCCCAGCCCACCCCGGCCAGGCCCGTCTGGGTACCTGTTCCCGTGCCCGCTTCTCCCCCTCCACCTCCCTCTGGAGACGCTCGGCCCTCTCCTCGGCGTCATCGGCCTGCTGCTGCAGAACCTGAATCTTGCGCTTCACCGCCTCGATGGTGGTGATACCAGCCATGGTGCCCTCCCCGTTCCGGCTCCTGCTCCGGCTGCTGCCTCCTCCGCTCGGCGATGCTGCCGCTTCTCAGCCCTACTTCCGCCTGCTCCGCCCTGAAATACCGGAACTCACCCACTCCGTCCGGATGTGACGACTACCCCCCTTCCCTTCTCCCCTCCCTCCGCCAACCGGGCGGGAAGGCGAGCGGGCTGGGAGGGAGACGGGTTGGGGAGCGAGGGTTGGGGCTTGTGTGGACCCCCGAAGACTGACTAGAAGACTGACTGCCCCCTTGACCGCCCCACCCGTCTCCTGCCGTGAGCGGGAGGGGGCCGCTGCCATGGTAACCAGAAGGCGCGGCACAGTCCGAGCCTCCCAGGCCTGGCGGGCTTCCCACAATGGCCGGACCCACCACGCGCACTCCTCTGAAGCTCCAGTGACGCTCCACAAAGCTGCCCGCCCCCTCGACCCCTCCCAGCCACCTCTCCACCCCAGGTCAGCTGGGAGCCCCTTGATTCCTGCTGAGTCCTAACAAAAGGTGTTCCATCCCTCCTCTTCCCCGGCATCTCTGGAGAGCCGCCGGCGGCCCCCGGGAAGGAGGCAATGATCGGCTCTCTGGGTATCTTGCCCTGGGTAGCTCCTGACCGACCATAGCTCCTCTGGCCAGAAGGACCCAAGCTGCAACGACAGAAAGCCTCCAAAGCCCCGGGCGTTCCGCGAGATGGACGGATCGGCAAGGGAGACTTGCCTACCCTGCTGTGTATGAGAAACACTTTGTAAACCTTAAAGGGCGATAGAAATGTTAGCACCTTCTGTTCACCACGTATAAAGCTACGGATTCCGAGCGGAGTTACTCACTCCTGATCGTTGTTGTCCTTATGGTTAATGTTAGACGTCCAAGCCTCTACAAGGAGCACGACGGGGCGGAGAGAAGCGGAGCTGTCCCATCAAAGTGGCCTGCCTGCCCCCTTCTCCTCCTGGAAACTGCAGGGCTCCGAAATCCTCCCTAGCAATCCCTTAGCAGGTGAGGAAGGCATCCCACTGCTCTCAGAGACGAGCTCTGCCCTGTGCACATGCTGTGGCTTTCCACCAGACTCGGGAGGTAGCAGGAATGGATAAACAACTGTTCTCCGAGTTTAACCCTAACTGAGCGAGGAAGTGGGTGGTTTCGGTGTTTCAGAAACTCTCATTGCATTGACAACCACATTCGTTACCAACTTCACTACCGCCTTGGTTTCCAGTTACATCGGGAGACATATTTACAGATTGAAACAGACTCATAGGGCCAACCCGTTGGTAGGATTCTGAAAGACACTGTGGCAAAGAAAACTCAGAATTGGGGACATTTTATGAGCTCTCTCTTTTGATAACCAGGGGGAGTGATTATTCTTTAGTTTCCTTAGCTTTGTCTCTTGATTTTCTTGCCAGGTTGGGTGTCCAAGGACCTACCTTTAAGATGACATTTTAGGCGGAAAAAAAAAATCTAGCCTGAACTTCAAACTAGCCTTTTAGTTTCAGTCTTCTTGAGAGGCCTTTCACAGCTACTCTTTCTAAGTTATATCATGTTAAAGCCAAGGATGTTTAAACATTCCAGACAGCTCTTTCCAAGAAAGTGTAAATTGCCCTCCTCTTTGTTTTTCTTTTCTTACTTACTAACAGTTCTAAATTCTTTCTCACTGTCTCAGAAGCCCTAAGGTTTTTTGCCCTTTGCTTGTCCTACCAAGTTAAAATGAAATAAATACAAACAGTGTAGAAGTCCTAACCCGTGAGATTGGCAGAAGATATAATACATACCTATTTCTTCAAGTACTGGGTTCTTAGCATATCTCAAGAATGGTTTCTCAGAAGGCTTGTTTTCCCCCTTTCCTGCAAGTGGAACTATTCCAGAAGTTGGACATTTGCCCATTCCTCCTAAGTAGTAGCCTGTCCTTTTATATTTCTTCCAGGGCAGGGATTGAACAACAATGGCCTGAGATTCAGTAGTGATCTGAATTACAGGAAACCCTGACTAGTCCTGGGAATTGTCCATCCTGTATCACCTGCTTCCTTGGTATAAAGTATCTTTGGAAGCAGATAATGAGATAATTTTACATCCATTATAGTTGATGATTAAATGCTTGAATTTCTTCTATGGTTTATGGTTAAATTTCTTATTTTATGTGTTTGATAGTATTGTTGGTTACACTAAATTTGTAACAATTTTAAGACTATGTGCCAGTCAGCAAGGGGGCACTGTTGCTCTTTTTAAAAACTTTTTCAAGGCTAGGGTAAACCAAAAAAAAACCACAAACCTTTTCCATCACAGACAAACTAGGGGTGAGTTGAGAAGTCCTTGATACCTCTTTAGGATCACTGCATTCTTTAAGCTGGCATATTTGAACAAATAATCTCCACTTAATCCGGAGGAACAGATGAGCTGGCATCTTGTAGCCCTTAAAAGTATGATGGATGGAGCGCTAGGGAGTCATGTGCTGTTGTTTTCCTAGAGACCAACAATACATTGGCAGGTGCCAATATAGGCCCAGAATCTCCCCCAACTCTTCAATTCTCCTTCCCATTCTTTACTCCCTAAATGACAGTGCTATAACATTTTGCCCCTAAACCATGTTCCCTTCTACTAGCTCTTACTGAAAAACTGCTGCTTCTATCTCTATGCAAAGAAACAAATCAAGGAAATACATAAGGTTTGAGACTGACCTACCCAAACCTTTACTTTACTACCCCTTTGTCAAAGGAGCTTCTGAAAAATCCTACTTTTTCCAGCAAGGCTTTCTAAGACAACGAAAACTCCTTATTAAACATACAATTCCTATAAAAGTTTCCTGCTTCCCTCATTTTCTGTACCACAACTTCTATTTCAACAACTCCTTTGCCTTCTGACTGGACATAATATTTTCATCAATAAGTTATTAAGCCATATTCTTTGGTCTTTGCCTATTCAATTTTTCTTTGTTCTTTACATAATTCCTCAGAAGGCAGGGATTAAACTCTTAACTCTTTCTTTGTATAGGGCCTAGATTGCTCCAGAAAGCTAGGTAGTGCCACTAGTGGATAAGAGCACTGGGCCTGAAGTCAGGAAGACTCATCTTCCTGAGTTCAAATCTGGCTTCAGATACTTATTAACTGTGTGACTCTGGGCTGGTCACGTTACCCTATTTGCCTCTTCCTCATCTGTAAAATAAGCTGGAGAAGGAAATGGCAAGCTACTCCAACATCTTTGCCAAGAAAACCCTAACTCAACAACATAAACAAATCATACGATCATAAATCTAGAACTGGAAAGGATCTTGGAAGATCAGCACCTTCATTTTACAGATAAGGAAACTCAGGTCTAGAAAAGTTACATGACTTGCCCAAAGTCACATAGCACCAAAGCTAGGATTCAAATTCTCAAGTGCTGGGATTCAAAAGTTCAACAATTTTTCCACCACACTGCACTGCCTTTCATGAAGAGTTGAAGCCTGTTTCCTCTTAATCTCTCACCTCTCTCCATTACCGATAACTCAACATCAGGCCAACCCCTCCACCTCCCTATCTCTCCTTGGGTTGCAAGGTGTCTTTTCTCTTTTGTGCAGCCCAATTTCAGACTCTCCCATTTTGCACCTAATCTACTTCTCTTTCACTTGACCTTTCTGGCTTTCAGTTTCTTTATCTGTAAAATGAGGAGGTTGAACTAGATAATCTGTCAGGTCCCTTCCCTGTCTCAGATCTGTGATCCTTCCTCTCCTGTTTCTCAGCCTAATCTCTAAGAATGCCTGTTGGAAAGAAGAGGTAGAGGCTAATAATGTATATCTGTATTACAGTGCAGCCATGCTCAGTTTGATCACTGAGAGAGGCTTATGTGGTATATGTAGTGGAAAGAGTACTGGCCTTAAAACTAGGAAAGCCAGATCTTCCACTTAATGGCTGTGTCACCTTGAGCTAGCAGTTAAACATCTCTGAGTCTTACTTTCCTCCCATGTAAAATAAAGATAATACTTTCCTGACCGCATAGAATTGTTATAAGGGTCAACAAATAGCATAGAATGGAGCGACATATAACCAGGAATTATTATTTATGTTACCTTTTGTGGGTCTATATCAGTATAGGGAGATTTATTTGTTATGAGGGTCAAATGAGAGTGTGTGAAATGGTTTATAAACTTTAAAGAGCTATATAAAATAAGTTCTGATGATGATAGTACCTCATAGGCCAATGGATGGCATTATGTGTGCATGTATAATCTAAGGGAGGAGGACAGAAATAATTGATTTCTGGAAATTTTCATAACTTCTCTAAGACTATTAGCTTGAATATCTGTGACCCACTGTGCAAATCTCATGTTACTTAATTAAATTTGCTCTTCCCCAAATATACAATCCTAATAACCTTGCCACCAAGCCTGCCATTCCTGCTGTGAAGCTCAAACCTAGAGTAGTTCTCTGATATACCAAATTTTTTCCAAAAGACTTATTACTTCAAGAGATGCAGTTTCCTATATTCCCAAGAATGGTACTAAACCTCTTTTGGTATTAGTATCTCAGCAGTCCCTAATGCCTTCTTTTCTACATATGACAGTCTTGAGGAACCAGATAGAAAGTTCCCCAGAACTGCCCAGAGTAAAGCAATCCTCAAGAATATTTGATGCCCAGAGAGTCTCTGCCATGGTCAATAGTTTTTTTTATCTTTTTAGAAAAGGAGGAAATAGCAGCATCCTTAGTTCTTAGAAAGTGCTCCATGGCCTGGTATCTTGGAGTTGCATTTCTCTTGGAGGTAAGTTTAGGCTTGATTACAGGAAAAAAATTTTTTTTCACACTTAGAGCTGTCCCATAATAGCTATAGAATGGGCTACTTTGAGGGGTTGGTGACTTCCCTCTCCTTGGAGGTCTTCAAGCAGAAGTATTCTAGAGTGTCAATTCTTCTCAGGTATGGGTTGGACTTGATGGCTACCAAGATCTCTTCCAAGTCTAAATTTCTCTAATTATGTGCTGCTTTTTTTTTTCTTAGAAGGGCTTACATAGTGAGATTTCCATTATTAGCCACCATCTAGGCACTTATCACCACTTAAATGATAGAACTCTGGGAAATTTTTGATTATACATGCATTGCAATGTCATTACGGGGGGGGGTGAGGCTATCTAATCTGTATATCAGTTCTGGTGTCCAATTCTCCCCCATGTTCACAGGATGTTTGATGATGTGAAAAAGACAAGAGAGAGATTAGAATTAAATATGAAGAGGGGGGAATATTAGAATGAGTTAGGATATGTGTCTGGTTGCACTTCAAAGCCAAACAGATATGATTATCCTTTAAAAATTATCCCTGTCCTTTCTCTCTTTTATTATTACAGAATCACAGAATTAGAGAGTTGGAAGGGACCTCAGTGGCTATCTAGACCAATTTCTCACAAAAACTATGGATAATTGAAAATTGACTGTATAGCTCATTAACACTAAGGAACTTGAATAAATTTTTTATCCTTCTTTTCTTACAAAAACCTCAAAAGACTTACCCTTCTATTTTCTCATTTATTGTTGTGGTAACCTTAGCGAGGGGGAATGGAGGAAATCAGGTGGTTGTCAGATAATGTTAAAAGACAAAAGATTATAAATTCCATTTTATAAGCGAGAAAACTGAGGTTCAAAGAACTTTCGTATTCTGCCAGAGGTTATATAGCAAGATAATGACATAACAACACTATATGCTACTTTTATGTCCTAAATTTCTCCCTTGGTCTCTGCTGTATTACTTACCTTGGATATTACCCATGTTTCTTCTGGTACTGCCCCCTGTGGCATTTCAGTGGCATAAGCACGAAGGCCCAGATTGTTCAGAGTATAATGAGGCCATGCTGGACCA